AAGTATAATAGACTTAAAATAGGAGATAATAAGATATAGTATTAATATATTACTTAGAGGAGCTATAAGGACTAAGCATTGTACTGCTAATAGCTAGTATTAAATGTATTTTATTTAATATGAGGAGCCTAGTAAACAACTGAGAGGAATGTTGGCAGATAGAATGGAGACCTAAGATGCTTGCTCATGCCTCATGTTCGTATCTTGGCACTTCCCTTCGCTATTCAACCGGGCTCGATTATGCATGTGCGAAGGGTTTTCATACGCAAGCAGATCTACTCCTCTTTAAAGCCTAGGATTGTATATAACAAACTGGACAAGTAGTTGCCCAGCTCCTAGCGCCGACAACTCAACCATCTCATCGTGTAAAGAAAAGGTCGATCGGATCTTACGACGATTTGACAAGGCACTGACCGAGATATCCGTTCCCAATACATAATAACCTAAAATCACAATTAAGAATCTACACGAATATTGAAGCTCACAAAGTAATAAGGCTGGTGATCTAAGTGGGATAACTCAGTACCGCCTCTCATGATAAGAGATTTGTTATCAAGCTAGCTTTAACGATGCAGTTATATCGTTTCAACTTTTGAATGAACAGATCTCAAATGGTCCATCAGATCAATTGGTAAGGTGCTAGACCAAGCTGTAAGTGTGTATCAGTGCTGGGTAGAGGAGGACTTATGGCAATGGCTCTCTGTCTCTTGGAAGCCCAAACAAGCATGTGCAATGCAGCAGAGACTAGCACGGTCACTGGCCGACTTGACTGGATTAGAGCTCGTCTTCAAGCTGTTGTGGAACGTAGCCAAGCTTGATGGTAAGCCGCAGTGAGGAGATGGTGTTAATGTGAAACTGTTCCAATGCCATGGAACTGGATATGCACACATGCAAGCAAGCAAAGAAGGCGCTTCAATAACATACAGTGTCACCTTGGCATGCACTTCAGTTACAGTATGGTGTTTACTGTCGAAGGCCGGAATGCTGAGGTGCATGACGTGCAGCTCTGCCAATAATAGCCAGGTATATAACGAGAACGGACGGTCGTTTCCCAACAGAGAGAAGAAGAATAAGGAAATCAATACCCGATACTCTTATCATTGAATTGTTCCGTAGGTGTCATGCCATTATTCGAGAAGCCTATAGCTGGATTTCTTGGTGCTCATGATCTGCTGTCACCAAAAAGGTGCATTCCCCTTCAAGCGTAGGAGCTAACCGCACGGTAGCTCTGACAGACAAGCTGCAAGGTGGTCTATCAGGCATGCAACGACCTGTAAATCATTCAATCTGGTTGTTTGGGCCTGTTGTGTGTCATAGACTTGGTTGAAGGTCCGAGCCCGTGTCCGTTCAAAAGAGTATGCTAGCCTGTGACCAGGCCAGAGCTCCAGAGATGGCATCTTGGTTCGCGTATATCAACGAATAACATTATGCATGATGTTGTGACCGAAATGTAGCCAGCAGAATCGAAAATTCAAAGCTGAATGGCGTGGAAATGACGAATTTCCAGACGCGTCCTAGCTTGCTTGTTTGCCCACGCTTCGGGTCTGTGGAGCACCATAGCCACGGATCGAGCAGACGATACCTATCACTTTACATCACCGATATTGTGTCTCTACATAACATTATGGAGGAGGCGGAGGTATGTCGCCGATTTCCCGTTTTGAGGTTATACTGTAGTCTTTGATGACCAGTCTAGCCAGTGACGAGTAGGGGTTGCACTTTGAAGGGAGAAAGAGAACCTTCAGCCCCACGTCTAACTTGAGGAGTGGAGGCGATTATCTTGGATCGGTGAGTGCTGATACCTAGAATGCTCCAATGTACATACATAGGTACTCGTACTGTACGGGTAGTAGGTCATCTCACAGGTTTGGCTCTTGCCACTCAGACGACATGCATGTCTCGTTGCGGGGAGGGGTGAGGGCCTAGTTCCGGATATGCATGTGCAGTCAGCAGGCTTAGTTCGATGTAACAATATCGTCCCTGCAGGGAAACTTATCCGCAATGTTGAAATAGCTTGGGATTTTATACTCAAGACGCCCAGATTGTTATACAGCATGTCGACGCACATATCTGCGCTCAAATACAGCATCAAACTCAGCTTTTGTACATGCCAGGAATGAACCACTGGAACGAATCAGCAACCTCCGGGGGAGCTCCCAGAGAAGAGGCCAATGAAAGTTATTCCCGTTAGAGAAACGGTACGGAACGCAGTACAAGAGAAGCCAGCCTGGTTTTTGTTACCTGATCTCAACCAAGCCTGACGAAGGGCGGTGGCGCTGAAACCAGTTCAAGGCCCATACACCCAAAGATCAAAAAGCAATCTGATCTGGCCAGCACATTGACTCGTTCCCTTTTCAAATGTTGAACAGGATACGAATGGGCAGCATTGGACATAAGACACCGCCAGGAGAGTCGAGAGCCTGCGTCATCACTTTGATAGCAGAAAGAGGAAGCTTAACGGCACGGATACCGAAACTCAAGATAGATGTAATCAACGACCCCAGCTGGAGTCTTTGACTACTGGTGTGGAAGAGTGACACAGTTGACAAGTTGCTGGCTAATGGAAGAGATGGTGGGTTAGTAGCTACCTTAATTAGACATTGAAGAGTCTAACAAACATGGTTGAGATTCCTCGGTAAGATGCAATTTGCCGATCTCCCTTCTGACTTTCTTATTCGGCTTCTTCGATCTGAGTAAGGCATAATTATTGGGTTGGTAGCTTACCCGAGCTTGGGAAGGGCACAGACCTGAATCGATCTCGTTCACATCTTATCCCCACGGGTGCCTTTAGCCAGCCAGATTCAGCCCTGGAATATCCTTTAAGCTACCTGAGGTTAGCAAGTCAAACTAAAGGATGCGGTTCACGATATTTCCATCTGCTGATCTCCATCCCTTTGTGTGTTTCTGATGCCCTACAGGGAATCCAGTGCTTCGACGATGATCGACCCGCCAAGGTCCACATATACCCATCAGGAGCTGGCGTGAGATGCTAGGATGCCCACTTGAGAGCCAAGATCCCAGACTGGACTGGCACTTTGCTGGCGGAGGCTGCATTCGCTAGCGTGCACTCGAGATCAAGCAAGTAGCTTGAGAGTTCATAAATATGATGATTTCGATGGTGGCTTATGATAGAGAACGTTTGCGCGACCCATAGCTAGGACAACGAAACGAACAGGAGAGATCTGTTTCCCCGGCTGCCCGGCCGACTTTTGGTGGTTTGCATAAGCCCTGTCTGTTCCTTTTAGGCCTCCTTTCCATTTATGCTTGTAGATGCGCGACTGCTGCCGGCGGCACTTCCATTGAGTGAGGCAAGATGGGGCTTCAGGCCTCTATCTGCGGCCGCATGGCAGGTCAACCCCCCTCACTCACCTACATGCCGACCTACCTAGGTACCTTAAGGTACCTACCTTAGTGCTTTCTTTGCTTTTACTGCATGTAGCAACGCAATTTTTTCTTATTACATACATACTTTACCTGACCACGGATGCTCCATTTGCATCTCGTGCCTAGTATTGGCTGTGATCCGAGGTCAGGTAGGGAGAGGCGAGTGCTAATGGGTGCTTTTTGGGGTTTTATGCCCAAGACTTTTTCATGTTTGTTGGTAGGCCAGGCAATGGCAAATATTTATTAATAATCTCACCTCCCCCTGTCATACTCAATTATCTCTAGCTTTTCTTGCCATCACCTTAGAACTTGTGCTTGCGAGGTCTCATTTTGTACTATATCTTCAACTGTCACTGATCAGCCATTTCGTTTTCTGACATCCGCATTTGGAAATCGTCAAAATCGGCGATTTGGGCTCGATCTTACGAGGCAGTTTCTCTCGATTCACTGCCTCTCAAAGCTCAACGATATCTCTTCTGCCATTGGTCCTCCGCCAACAATACACAGGCGGGAATCTTGGTGGCTTCCTGGTTCTCCAGTCCTTGGGAGTTTCCTTCGTTTTGACTTTTGCCTCAGCCGTCTGAAACCTTTGGACTCTAACCATTTTATTCCGCTCTCGACTGAGGCTAGAACGGCTGTACGCTTGGGGCCGTCGTCCCTTCAGCTACTTGACCTCCGGGTCCTTATTTTCTGTTCCATACCTAGGCATGGTGTTTGCATTGTGACGCTAAACAGCTCTATACCCTCGCGTTCTGACCTATTCATTCGCCCGCACGTTAGTGTTGCTATCCCTTTCCCTCACGCAAAGTCTTGAGTTCTTTACAGCCGTCATATTTCCGTTAGGACCAAGCTTAGCAGAGACCAAATCCGGCTTCTTGGTGCGTGTGGTTGCGAGCTCGCCCACATCCCTCACGGTTTCCATCAGTACACAGCAGAAACACGGCTGACTACGGCCTCATTCTACGGCCCTCTTCCTCCAAGTCTTTTGCTGCATATGGGCCTGTATTTCCTTTGCTACCTCTCTTCAATCCGGACATTGTCGTGGGCTTGGCCGAGATCCTCCCGCTTCCCCCGGCCGTTAGCCAACCTGCTAGTCTCACCCAAAGAAAGGCTTTAATCAATCTGAGTCAATAGCGTCTTTTCAGACCGCTAGGAGCCCATTTGAGGCTACACGCCTTTGACTACACCAGCCTTCATCCACTCCCCCCATCGTCTATCTGGTCAGTGGAACCGCCCGCATTCCGTCTTACAGCCGACTCCCTGGAAGTAGTGGACTACTGGGCCCTTCCCGCTCTTTTCTTCCCTTCGGCCTGGCTGTTCCTAATTCTCTTATTGGGCGCTACCGAAAGGGTTCTGTACTTGAGACCTGAGTATCAGTTAGCTGTTGATGCAACCGATCTAAGCCGCCACTGATCTTCCACTAATAAGCTCGACACTGGCGTCTCTCCTTCCCATCCATCTATGTTGATGGTAGCCTTTTCTGACTGAACCAGAAATATTCCACAACATTCATGTCTCTAACAGCTGTTGAGACCGCCGCGCGAACATCACAGCGGCTAAACGCGATGCCACAGACCATGCCGGAGGCCATGCCACATCCACACGCGACGACAATAATGAAATGGGCACCGGACACACATTATCCTCCTCAGGGTCCAGTTCACTCTTACTATGACCAACACCTGTATTCCCCGGCCGGCCAACTCACCGCAGGGCCCGATCCTCGTCGTCCTTCACAGCTGCTGCAGCATCAACACCCTCGAACTGGCCATGGTTACCAATTGGATGGGATGCCAGGCTCTGTGCCTCAGAACCAACCTCATCCTCCTCATTCTCGTCCACAATCTGGGCTATATGCTACTGACTATACAACCGGACAGCAAGCCGGTCCACTCCAAGCTCCATCTGCCATTCTTCAACGGAATAGCGAAATGCTGGACCACGCGCAAGGCCGCCATCCAGTGTATGCGCCGAGACCGCACTCAGTGTCAGAGGATCAACCGCCCACCTCTATGCATGGTCAGCATAGGCCATCAATCGATATGTGTGCCGTGTCACCCTTCACAGAGTATCACTTCAATCCGCCTGTTACAACCAATGGTAGACCACCTGATTCGAATAGTCCTATGGTATCCCCAACTGGACCACGGCCTGATCCTATGAGGATAGCCGACATTCTTACTACTGGCGAGAGAAGTCGCAGTAGGACGAGCGTGGACGATCGCTTATCCGACAACCGCTTCAACCTCCAGATACGACAGCAACCGATTGCGGCTCGATCATGTGGATTTGGGGAGAGAGATCGGAGAGTTATCGATCCGCCGCCAATCGTTCAGCTTCTCATCAAAGATGACAGTCTCACGAAAGAAGAGATAGGAAAACATTTGCGCTATCCCCACTACGTGATGAGTTGCTCTATTTTCGATGAATCTGGGTCTTGTGATGCGTCATTCATGCCTGAAGAGTATCGGCAACAGCGCCGACTCATGGGCTTATTAGTCAGTGCCCCGTTTGTCGGCAAGGATGAACATGGCGAGGAGGGTTGCTTCTTCTGCTTTCCAGACTTATCCTGCAGAACTCCTGGCTCATTTCGCCTTCATTTCACCTTAGTCAAAATTGACCCAATCCGTGCAAAAGAGGTGAAGCGCTTTCCGACTTTGGTCACCGCCCAGAGCGAAGTTTTCACTGTTTATACAGCAAAGGACTTTCCTGGGATGCAGGCCAGCACAAAGTTAACTAAGCGACTTAAAGAGCAAGGCTGTATTATTTCTATCAAGAAGGGAAATGACCGGTCCAAAAACATCAGGAGTCACGACGATTCAAGCGATGGAGAGCAAGATGAGGGCGAGGCTACGTTGCAAGGAAAGCGGCGACGCCGTTCGGCACGACAGTGAACACGCAGCATATAATATACAGGGCGTTCAATGTGTTTTCAAGGCAGGCAAGGTCTGGGTCATATACGAACACGGATGGGACAATATGGCGCTATATTGATTGATGATGCTACCTGGGTGTTTATATACTGCGCTACAGGATGAAAGCCGTTCTGATGTGCTCATTATACCATTGGTTTACCTTTGCTTCGGCAAGGCATGCTTCAATCAAAAGAGTTTCAGTATATAAGCTGATGTTGAGAAGGGGCACTGTTCCCCATATCACAACTTGTAGAATAACGAGAACAGTTGTTCTTTCTCTCTTCTTGCATGTTCCCTTGTTGTCGCTAAGTACCTAGAATGCCCGTCACAAATCGCGACTCTTCTTAAGAATGGTTATATAGGACTCAACGGACCAGATCACACTTGTCTGCCGAGGCATGATAGTAAAGAAGTCTAACCCCAACCTATAGGGTTTGTATATCACGCTTCTGTGAACAGCAACCTTAGCAATAGCCGGTTGCCTTGTTCCTTGTAGTCAGGAGGATACTCTCGTTACTGCAGGTACATGATTGTTACTCCTTTTCATGGCCTCTGGGTCTGTCCCAACACCTCCTCGGGTCATGACCAGATTGGGATGATTGAGGAAGAGTAGTAAGCTATAGTCGCATTCCAGTATAGCGTTTGGGTCCTAACTAGATGTTTCCGTGGGCGTCCAAGAAGAAAGCTACCCAATAGTTTATTTCTCATCAACTTTAAATGCACGAACGCTCGCTGGGAGGTTTTATGTTTCTAATGCAAGCTCTGGATCAAGGAGCCTTGTGTAGATGAGGCAAAATGCGTGCAACTTGTTGAATGTGATCGGTCAAGTTAACTGACTAGTACTTGTTAAGATGTCAAAGTGAGATTTCGTGAACAAAGAAACTGACGATGAAAATTTTGTGACCTAGCAGTGTTATCTTTTGTCGTTAAGCTCAACGTTCTTTGGTCGCCCAACTGACTACTAGAATGGCATCCAGGAGATTGACATCACACCACTTCGCTGAGTTGATCGACAACTAGGTAGTCTAGCATCATGCTGAACCATCTCAGAAGAATAGAGTTTGTCGCACTAAAAGTGAGCTATCTAGCTCACGTTCACAGATGCCAAAATTGGCGTATCAGCTTTTTCCCCCAGACGGCTGTCCTTGCTAAATGCACATCTACTGGATTAGTGAATGTTAGGTAGAATTGATTAAACATTCTAAACATTCTCAGTCGCTGCTCAATAGTCCATCGTTGTTAGAATATCACTAGGCCTCATACTACCAACTTCTACTATTATTCTGTCCCCCAGATCATGTACTCCGGAGATAGGCTCTGCTGCTAAGCGATGGCTTGGGACTACCCGCCTTAGACTGGGCTGCCATGAGACTACGACCCGTGACGATATATACAGTACATACAAACATAGCCACCACCAAAACGTGGTTGAGTCTGGTGCGGGAACTACGCAAGCTCCCGCATCTACTGGATATCTTGAAGGCTCCGTTGTCTGATCTGGTGTGAGCCAGTCGACTAGTGAATTCGGAGAACGCTTGTCATTACGAGTCTATGAGAGTACTACATTGCTTCATTGAGGGCAAATATCATACGGCACTCGATCTCGTACCTTGACGACGGTATCAAATACATACAAAAAGTGAGGCATTAAGACTTGTATAAGAAAACGGCTCTTACGAACAATTTTCGTTGTTTCCAGCTCAGGCTGCACTGGAGCAAGGCATTGAAGGTATTTCTCCGGAGCAATCGTGCTATAACATTCCACTGATCGATGATATGTGAGTGACAAACAGGGGCAAATCTGGCATGTGTTTTCTGAATCACTGTCATTGCCGATCATGCCAAGGCCCGGAGTAAGACACAAGGTTTTAAGACACATCTTTGATCCAGCAACTCATCCCTCTTGTCGCCGCCCCTCACCATGCAAGCCTCAGCTCAACATGGTACATGCAGTAGACGTGTCTTTCCTACACATGAATAGCATGGTACTATCCCATTTCTGGCATTGCCGACTCTCAGGGATTTCTAACGGTGTCTTGATCGATTTTGTGAGGAATCGAGCTCACTAGCAACAAAAAATTTGTTGTCAACGTTGCGTTAGCCGACATCGAATTATCAATCTTTGATATTCCAGAGCCCAAAATACTCTCAGAGTCCTATTGCTGAAGCCTAGAACTCGATTCATTCTCTTCGCCTTTCTAACTTCTCCTATCGTGGCCCTGTTAACGGAGTGGATGCTGGATCAGATCATAAAGCTTGGCATGCGAGCAAAGCGGTGGTCTTTTCCAAAGCGCTTTGAAGTTTTAACGACTTATTTCGTACGTACTCAACAGTGCAAAAGGCCAACACATCTAGCTACTGGCTCAGCCTCCTGACATATCTTATGGGTCTACTGGGCAAAGCATGTAAGGGAAGATTGTGTTTATCATGTTACCACACGGCTCAGTCTTCCGCATGCAATGTCACAAGCAAACCCATTTGGAACAAACCGGCAGCCCTAGTGTCCCTCCCGTACGCCACGGATTACCGATTACGTGCTTCTGACGATGTTAACTGAGGTTGTCTCAGAATGCATTGTAAATTGGCTGTCCGTTTCGATGGGAGCGGCTCCATATCGAGATTTCCCACAGCCTTTGCTTTTATGCACACTGGCGTAAAAATTACTTCTGGCAAGCGTTTGGTTGTGCCCATGAGACGATTTGTCCTTGGACTTTGGCGCCGATCTGCAACCTCCGCATAACGATGAGAAAAGGCCTCGTATGAAACATCGGATAACTCTCGAGAGAGCTTATACAGAAAAAGGGAGATATCGCCCGTCAGTCGTAGAAAACCAACAGGTCACAAGCATATCTCCGAAGAATGCAGGCTTACATGAGAACGTAGCTAACAGATGTTTAGGGGTTCATACCATTGAAACGCTCTTCCAGCAAATTATATGTGCAGTATTAAACCTCATGTGGGCTCATAACTGGTCCAGTACTACACCGGGAATCTCTGTGGTTTCAATGCCATGAATTAGTGTGTTGGTGGCTTGGATTATGTTCTCACTCGTCAAACGGACGGAACAAAACTTTGAACTGGAAATCCTGAGAAAATTGGGAGCAGAGATCACAGGTTTTCTAGGTATCGCTTGATCTTTCAAGCATCAATCCTGGTTTCGTGGCTAACGGTTTATGAACTTGACACCGAAGAACATGTTCCCAATGATGATGACAATGCCTACTGAAGGAGCAGACTCTATGAAGCTTACGGTGGAGTTGATCTTAGAAAACACGACTACGGATCTGTTCTCATAGCAGACTTTGAACTCATAACAACCCACCACGGTCTGAGGTGCTCGCCATTTATGGTAACAAGGCCAGCTGTCACATTCTACCAACAGCAAAACTTGAAAAAACAACCTCTCTGCAATAATCAGAGTTTTATTATGATGCACTCTGGACTTGAACCTTCAGCATCATTTGCTGTATACAGGGTAGATAATACACAGCATCGGACAAATGAACATTGAAACTTTTTTGAGTGGCACAGACATAACCATTCAATGCAGAACATTGGTGTTCACGCTGGGCTACAAAAATACATTTGTGGTTGATCAGAAAGACGTACCGTTCGATCTCTTCTCCAAGTTTCCTTCTGGACTTGACGTGGGCGTAGGGTTGAATACAATGGCTTAACTAGGTACTTTCTGGTCAATTAAAGATCAGAAGCAAGGTGGCGGCTACCTGCATCCATTTGCCTAGCATGTGTGACTTTCGTACACCTTGAAGCATGTTTAGAATGACGATAAAGTCACGGCTCAAGTTGCCTTCTTTGAGGTACTGTATGTATCTGGATGACGGATTGACATATGACCTATCATTAAAGCCCACACATTGGTAAACGGGCCTAGTTGTTTGCGACATCTTGAAAGGATTAACCAGAGACTCTAGATATTAATAAACAACCGGGTGACCGCCATCGAGTAGTTTTTTAGCCAAGAATCAAGAAAAACTGTAGATATAGGCTCATCAGATAGGTGAATGGCGAGTTGGATCTCAGCGCCTCCATCCTCACATTGGTGTAAAGACCAGTGATTTATCGGATGCTCCTTTAGGTAGATCCCTCTAAGCAGAGGTATTGAAATTCCTTCCGAAGTTGATTTGGTCATGGCTGAGAATATTGGTAATACATTTCCACTGCTTCAACTGAATAAAGTCCATAACATTAGCCAGTGGATGGTTACTGAATTCTTAACGCACCTGGAGATGGATGAATTCGATAAAACTAAAGAGCAAAACCTCACAATCACTTATGGAATAGTCGGATGTTCCATGGCTCACATTGCGCTCATAAAGGAGATTAGGAGAAGAGACATTAATTCCCAAGTGGCAGCTGGTGGTGAGGGTAAAGAGTGGCTACAGAGGGATTGTACGCATTAACCAATAGGAGCCAGCTAAATAGACTTATTGAGAGTTTCTCTTTCAATAATCTTTGGCATAGCGTAGATGTTTAATTCAACAAATTGAGGTGTTGAAGAGACGCTGGCCGTTGATAAAGCTCCCTTGATGGAAAAACAGGGAGAATCCTGGCGCGTTTCAGGTCCTTCTGGTGGAGCTTATGTAGTCAGCAGTCAAGACATTGAGAAAGGTAGAAGCCACTGCGAGATGCTCTATAAAAGCTTGGAACAATCCCACGGTGTTCGACCTCTTGCTAGGAGTTGGTGGCGCAACCCATAACACGCGATTTATAAGTCATATTCGGATACCGCTTGGAGGCTCAACGGAGGGAAACGATAACGAAAAGGTCTTTGAGTGAAGGCAAGGATACACTGTTTGTTTGTCTGACCCCAGTCCAGGTTGCTCCAGGGTTGAAACACCCGCTCCGTTTCGCGGCCACAAGTATTGGTACAAGGATCAGCCTGAGGTTTCCTGTGTTGCCCAGAACAGCCTGTCCTACGGATTGAAGGTTGACAAATTGTGAACCTTGCTGTTGAGAAT